CCCCGCGCCCCGGGCCGCGCGCCCGAGCCGAGCTGCGCCGGGTGAGTCTGCGCCCCACCCGGGACCCCGGACCCCGCTGCCGCGTGTCCCCTCTATACATCCACCTCGGAATCTGCATCGCCCGGGCTCGGTCGGGGTCCGCTCGGCGCCGCCCCGAAACCCCCGGTGGGACCTGCCTGCCTGCGCCCCCGCCCTGGGCCCGCGCCGCGCCCAGAGTGCGGATCCCGGGTCCCCGCGTCCCGGTTCGGCGCTGGTGGCTGCGCTGGCCCAGGCAGTCGCTGTCCCCGCTGCTGGGGACCTGCGTCCTGTCCCGGGGCCGCACCGCGCGCCCTGTTCCCGAGCGGGCACCAGGAATCGCGGGATCGGGGGTCCCCCGAGCGGGCAGAGACCCCGAACGAGGGGCGCCTTTGCCCCTCCTGCTGTGCGAGCCGCCCAGGACCACTGTCCCAAAGCTGTCGCCTGCTTCTCAGGAAGGGAAGAACGCCAGGGCAGTGGGGGAAGAGGTCAGAGGGGCGCTGCCCTTGCAGCTCCCCTACCACCTGCCAGGGTCCGCCGGGCAGAGGTCTACACCCACGGCCCCAGGGCGAGGCTCTCCGGGATTCGCGGGCTGTGCCTACGACCTCCCGAGTAGGGGCCCAGGGTCCTGCCTTCCAGGCGCAGGGAGGGGGCAGGGATGTACTGCAGCGCGACTGTCCTCCAGGGCACCCGAGGGTCCAGGCCCTGGCATGCCCCGGAGTGGCACCTGCTGGGGCCTGCTGGGGCTTCACCCCGTGCCGTCAGCTGGTGTATGGGTGGGTAAGTAGGTGCGGATGTTGCTGGCAGAAGTGGCCAAGAAGTCCCCTTTGCGTATCCTACAAGATCCCTCCAACTATAAGAGAGTGGTAGAGACCTGGGTTCGAGTTCCAGCTCTGCCATTCATTAGCGGTGTGACCTTGACCAGTTACTTAACCTGCCCGACACTCTGTTTCCATTAACAAGTGTGGTTATGAGTGGGGTGCAGTGGCTCAGTTTTGTAGTCCCACCACTCAGGAGGCTGAAGCAGGAAGATAAGAAGTTTAAGGCCAGATTGGGCTACCTGGCCAGACCCTGTCTCAAGGAAAAAAATAAAATAGTGTGGTTACTACCACAAGGTTTGTCTTGGAGATCCAACAAGATAACACAGGTAGAAAGACTGGTACCCTACCTGGTAATGGATTGACACTGGGTTTGTCTCTCTGGACCCATCCTGGCATAGCATTGCCACGGTACCCACCTCCCAGTACAGTGCAGATGGATAGGGTGTGTTCGGAGAGTTCAGGGACATCCCCCCGCTACTCACTGTCAAAGTCTCTAACACAGTGTAAGCCCGAAGGTCCAAACAAGAAGCTGTCTTGCGTGGCTGAAGGGTTTTGTCATATTTCTATCATCAAGTTTTAGGTTCTCTTTTTCTCTGTCTCTGTGTCTGTCCAGCAATACTGGGGATCAAACCCAGGGGTGCTGTGCCACTGAGCCACATCCCCAGCCCTTTCCTTTTTTTTCTTTTAGACAAGGTCTTGCTAAATTGCCCAGGCTGGCCTCAAACTTGCCATCTTCCTGCTTCAGCTTATGGAGTGGCTGGGATTATAGGCGTGCACCACCATGCATGGTTAAATTCCATGTTTTCTTTTACTTTTGATTTTTACTGATTTTTCTCCACTAAACCTCTTGTATTTCCCATCTCATTAATAACAATAGCTATTTTTAGAGCCTGTTACTTGCCTTCAACTATGTGAAGAGCTTTGGGTGAATCTTCTTAATGCTTTAAAGAGCCACACAACTGGATTGTTGCCCCCATTTCACAGATGAAGGAGTTGAGGTCCACAGTGGTAGGTAATTTGCTAGGGTAGAGGCCAGGTCTGGCTCTCCTGGAGCCTGTGCTCTTAGCCACCAGGCTGTGCCTGCCCTACCTCAGAGACTGAGATCACAACCTAAGCGGAGCAAAGGCAGGTATGGAGAAACGGGTTGCGGCCACAGGCAGTCCTCAGCCCTTTGCTCCCCAGAGGAAGCCTCCCCTCTATTTGCAGAGGAAGCAAGTGCAGTGGCTAACAATGTAAACTCAGCCTGTCTCTGAACCTACCACAGACTGACTGTGTGACCTTGGGCACATTGTGTAGCCTCTGTGCACCTCAGGGTCCTCCTGAGATTGTAAGGAGAAGCAAATGAGTTATATTTACAGAGGTCTTAAAAGGGTGCCGGAGCCAGGTGTGGTGGTGCACACCTGTAATCCCAACACTCAGGAGGCTGAGGCAGGAGGATTGTTGCAAGTTCAAGGCCATCCTGGGCTAAAAAGTGAGTTCAAGACCAGTCTGAAAGGCATAGTGAGACCCTGTCTCAAAAAGACCAAAAAAAAAGGTGCCTGTTGCAAAGTAGAAGTTAAATAAACATTTGATAAATTCCTTTTTAAAAACTTGAGGCTTGAACCTAGAGTGCTGAGTTACAGACTTATTTATTTATGTATTTACATTTGTGGTACTGGGGATTGAGCCCAGGATCTTCACACTGAGCTCCGTCCCCACCCCTTTTTATTTTTTATTTTGAGACAGATCTCCCTAAATTACCCAGGCTGGGCTCCAACTTGCAGTCTTCCTGCCTCATGCTCCAGAGTAACTGGGATTATAAACGTGAGTCACCACACCCTGCTAAATGCATTCTTTTAATGCTCCTTACCCTCATGTGTGAATGCTTTTTTGCTTAACCACCTGAAAGCAGTAGGGGTAGGGCGAGGATATTAGTATCTTTGTTATACACTGGAAGACCGAGGCCTGGGTTACATGGAAACAGATCCAGTCTGCATCTCCACCTGCCTCCCTGTGAGCCCAAGCCCTGCATTAAGTCACCCCAGGAACTCCATGAGGAAAAAAAAAAATGTAATTTATGACTCCCCACCCTCACTGTACACTCCTTAATGGGAAAATCACAGTGTAGCCAGACATCTGATCCTACATCTGTAACACAACTGCACACATCTAGCCAAAGCCTCAGTATCATGCAGGAGAAACAGGCGGACAATTGGCTAGAGTGTATCCGGAGGAACTGCCTCCAGCCCCTGGCCCCCAGGATTCTGCCCCAGGCTGGCCCTCTGTGCCCACAGCCCTGCCCTGGCTCTGAGAGCAGCTACTGATGTTGAAATCGACTGGCAACCCCGGCCCCGCCTGCACAATTAAGAGCTTGAAGTGTCCCCATCAACCGCCCTGGCCACCCGGACTCCACCCCTTACCTGCCCTTTGACCTTGTGTGACTCCTCTCTCTGGGCCTTGCTTCCTGCCCTGAAAAACGGGGACAGCCAGCTGAGGGGGCTCATCCCGTGCAGGTGGAGCCAGGGCAATTTTGGAGGGGACAGTGAAGAGGTGGTGGCAGAGGGACTTCGTGATTTTAGGTGCTGAGCCCTCAGCTGGACAATCACTGCCCTGAAATCCCTTGGTGCAGAGGCATCCAGAGAGCTCCTCCCTGGAGTAAGAAAATAGGTGGGGGGCTGGCTGGGCAGAGCCTTGGTTCTGGGAGAAACACAGCCCAGGAGGAGAAATGGGCCTTGTGATTCCCAGAGTGCACTCAAGTTGGAGTTGAGGAAGGGGGACTGATTAGGGGCTCCCCACACCACCCAAGATGCACACCGACACCTTTAACCTGCTCTGGGACCTGGGCCCTGTGCCTGATGTTTACCTACCTGGCTCCCAGACACGCCTACATCCACACCTCCACTCCGAGGCCAGCAAATCCCTTGGTTCCATGGATGCCACAGTCACTTAGTTCCCGTGCACATACAGACATAAACACGCGTTTACACCTCTAGACACATTCCCACCACGCCTCTGTGCTCTCTGGTCTGAGAACATTTAATGGGCATTTTATTTCTGAAGCTTCCTCAGTCTTCAGAGCTTAGTTCTGGGCACAGCTGAAAAGCATGGCGGTTCTGTAATATTCTAGCGTGGTAGAGAAGTTGACATAGGTTTGGACCCCATTGTAAACTTTATTTAAATTTTATTTACAATGAGGCCTTGGGAAAGTTACTTAACCTCTCTGAATCCAGTGGCCTCATCTTAAAATGGTGACGACACTCACAGGATTGTCAAGGATTTAATGCAATCAGGTACATATTCTTGAAACACTTAATAAATAATGCCTGCCACAGTTACTAAATTAGGGTGTTTTGAAAGTCAATTTGGGCGAGAAAAGAGGGAGGCATAAATGACAGGCAGTTACTCTCTTCACTTCCCAACCAGCTGCAGAAATTCTCTGGGAGCCCCAGGACTGGTGGGTGGGCCGGAGAAATCCTGAGCCACCTGGGGGAGGGTAGCAGAGGGACACGCGTATGTCCAAAGTTGCCATCACCTTCACCAGGTTGTTGTTCTCTCTCTTTGTCTATTTTCCTTTCTTCCCTGGGGACCCCCTCCCCCAGCAGAGCTGCACAGTTGTCAGCAGAAGGGGCCCCCAGGGCCCCCCAGTAGGAGGAGGTGGGGCAGCACTGTCATTGCCTCCACCAGGCTGAGCCCTACCCCCCCACACACACACTCTGGGAGGGTCCCCAGGGCCCACTCAGCTCAGTCCCCTAGCATCCCAGAGGCCCCTCTCTCCTTCTCCTGTCCACTCAGCTGCCCTGAGCATGAGAGGCTGTGGCAGGGTCTTGCGTGGGCTGAGGCCACCATCTACTCTCCCTGCCTTCGCCAGCTGGAGCAGCTTTCCAGAGGGCATGGTGTTCCCAGCCTGCCTTGCTCCACAGGCAGGAGCACAGCATTCTGGGAGTTGTAGTCCTCACTGTGGTGACCCTGAGCCATCACTGGAGAGGGGAAGACACTGGAGGGGAACCAGGAGTAAGGGATATTCATGCTGCAGAAGGGGGACAGGGCCCAGGGCCAGCAGCAGGTAGCACAGATCAGGAAGTCCTGCTTTGTACCTGGCTTCTCACTCTGACCCCATCCTCCAACCCCTACTCTAAGGACCCTAAAGCTAAAAATCTGGTTTTGAAGCCAGTTAAATTGAGGTGATGAACAGAATTGAAAACTCTAATCACATGAAATCAGGCCTCTGTTTTAGTGCTGGGGATGGAACGCGGCACCTCATGCAGGGTAGGCAAGCTCTGTATGTCTGAGCTGCTGCCCCAGACTAGAAAGAAAATATCAGGAAGTTGCTGCTAGCTCTTCCCCCAGCCTTGCTAGCCTAGAAACCCCTCCCCTAGCTTTGTGTCCTCAGGCCCAAGACCCCTGCCATGGTCCCTTAGGTTCTGCTCCACCCCTTTGGGGAGACCAGAATGAGGGAAACTGCTGGTGTGCAAGAGTGCAATCCATGCATTCTTGGAGGCTGAGGCAATAAAATCGCAGGTTCAAACCCTGCGTGGGCAATTTAGTAACTGAGCAAGACCCTGTCTCAATAAATAAATAAATGAAAAAATTAAAAATTAAAATAAAAAAATAAATGAATAAATAGATAAGGACTGGGCTTGTAGCTCAGTGTGAAGGCCTTGGATTCAATCTTTAGTACCGCCACACAAAGAAAAATGAGGGGGAAGAGCAGGGGAGGCAGCTGTTGAGAGAGACAGACACCTTCCTGCTCAGGGTGACCTGTCGGCCCAGGGTGGGGGCACAGCTTGAGAGCCAGGGAAGGCAGGCCTCTGTGACCCAAGCCTCCCTCCTGGCCCTTATCTCCCTGGCCAGAGCCTCTCCCCTCCCTCTGCCTGGAGCTGCCTCCCTACCTCTCCCCACTGGGCTCCCGCTGGCTGGGCCAAGGGGATGTGGTGGGCCCACTGACCATGCCGCATTTCAACAGGAGGACCATGCGGCAGTAGGCGCCATGTTGCCCTTCCTGCTGGCCACGCTGGGCACCACGGCCCTCAACAATAGCAACCCCAAGGACTACTGCTACAGTGCACGCATCCGCAGCACCGTCCTGCAGGGCCTGCCCTTTGGGGGCGTCCCCACCGTGCTGGCCCTTGACTTCATGTGCTTCCTGGTAAGTGCCACTGCCCATCCTGCTCCTGGCACCCGTGCACAACAGCCCTGGCAAGCCACACCCTCCCGCCCACCTTGGCTTCCCCACCTCTTGGCCCCTCCCCTCCCTAGATGGGGTTCTGACTCCAGTGCCCAGGCTGGCTGGTCTCCGCCTCCCACTCCCCTCCTTCCTCTTCCCTCAGGCACTGCTGTTCCTCTTCTCCATCCTCCGGAAGGTGGCCTGGGACTATGGGCGGCTGGCCTTGGTGACAGATGCGGACAGGTAAGGGTCTGCACTTGGCCACTTCACTGCATGCTGCTCAGGAGCCAGAAGGGGGCAGCCCCTGCCGGTCCCCTTTGTGAGGGGGGCGCGGGGGCGCAGAGAGACAGCGTGGGGGCCTTGGTCCCTTGCCAGTCCTCTCTCCGCGCGGGTAACCCGTTCTGTTCTCTGTCCCCAGGCTCCGGCGGCAGGAGAGGGACAGAGTGGAACAGGAATAGTATGTGGGGCACCAGCCCCTCGCCCCCACTAAGCCAGCTTTTCTCTCTTCTCTCACGCTTCTCTCTCCTCCTGCCAAGCTGCTGGTTTCTCTCCTCTGCAGGCTCTCGGCGGTTCAGACGGTTGCAGGCGGTGTGCTTTGCAGAGCAAGGGGCTCCCTGGCTTGTCTCTGCTCCCCATTCCAGCTCTCTCAGGCTCTTGCCTGGGAGAAGCCCCCTTCCCTGAGGGCACCCGCCCCGGAAATGACACCACACAGTCCTCAGCACACTCACGCAGAGACAGGCTGGGTGTCCCCAGAGCTTCTGCCCCCTAACAGCCAGTTCTTCACCTGCCAGGGTTCCTTGTCCACCTTGGGAGGGGGCTGCCCAGGGAGCCCCCTGTTCTGGCCTGTGCCCCCGCTGTGGTCTCTGTCTGTAGGACTGGAATTGGAGCTGTAGCAGTTGCCGGGTTGGGGAGCAAGAAGGGAGCCATCTTCCCCACCACCCCTCACGGTCCGCCTGTTCTTGGGTTCCCCTGGTCACTCCCGCTGTACCTCTCCTTGCTCTTTGCCTAAGGTCGGCTCTGTTGCTCCTGCCCCCTGCTGGTCAGGACCGGAACTGCAGGGCTTCTAACGTTCTTGCTTTGGCCTCACTTGGGTGATGATGAAGAAACCCTCCTCCCACAGGCCCCATGGCTGAACTGGTGCCCGGAGGGAAGAGGCAGGGTAGAGGGTGGTCACTCCTGCTTCAGCCTCTGCGCTTTCTGTGCCTTCTGTGGCCCCTGAACTCTGGGATTCTCTGCCCGTTTCCCAGGGCTCGTGCTCACCCCTCTGGTCTCATCTTCCCCTCCCCAGTGTGGCCTCTGCTATGCATGGGGACAGTCATGACCGGTATGAGCGTCTCACCTCCGTGTCCAGCTCTGTCGACTTTGACCAAAGGGACAACGTGAGTGTCCTCCCCTAAACGCCTTACCCACCCCCCGGCACGTGGGCCAGGCAGCCTGTAGTGTGCAGGGATTTGTCTGAGCTCCTTTCTGGCTCCTGTCCTGCGTCACAGCCTCCAAGCAGCACAGTCCTAACACTATGAACTCCAGACGCTGCCACAGTAGACTTCAGTGCCCGTCTCTGCTACTAGTAAATCCAAGGTCACCATCTTGCTGTAGAAGTGGCTTTAGAAATCCCAAGTGTACCTGCCAGGCATGGTGGCGCACACCTGTAATCCCAGCACTCGGAGGCTGAGGCAGGAGAATGGCCGCAAGTTCAAGGCAAGCCTGGGCTGTATAGTGAGACCCTGTCTCCAAAAGCCAAAAAGAAAAAAAAAAATCACGTGTGTCTTCCTGGCTGGGTAGCTAAGTGTACAGACTGTGCCATAGTGCTCAGAGGGCATCCTGGCAGCCCTGGCTGTGGAGACAGATGGCCTACAGTTCGCAGCAGTCCCCAGCTCTATCTCACACAAGACCCAGCAGGGGTGTTCCTACCTAGCCTTCTGTCATTGTGATTGCGGAGTCCCTGGTCAGCCTAGTTTAGGCTGGGAGCCCTAGGGGTGACAGCCCAGCAGAAAGTGGCTGCTGCTTCCTGAGTTGGACACTTTCTGGTAAGTGGCAAGCCACAGGCTTCAGCTTTGCTACCCAGTGCTGTCCATATGGTTCCCAGACATAGGTGGTGCCCAGGTAGCAGCGTCCTGGGCCAAACACACCTTCTCCCCACCCTAAGTGAGGTCTGGGCCTCTTGATGGGAGCCTAGGAAAAGTTCTTTCTGCCTGGCACCCCTGCCGCTCCCCACTGTCTGCCCAAAGGGACCGAAGGGATGAAGCAGAGAGACATCCTGCAGCTCATGGTGGCCCTGGGTTTGGTACCTCCGGGGTGGAATGGAAGACAGCAGGCATGCAGGCACCCTGGGGCAGCCCTCTGCTTTTGGCAGCTGGAGGCGGGGGACCTTCCTAGGAATCCCAGGCTGCACCCTATGCTGAGCCACACAGCCCCAGGGTTCTGCAGGGCTCTAGCCCTAGACATTAGGGTTCACAGATAGCCTGCTTTGGTGCTGTCCTTTTTTTCTTTGAAGATAGGGACCTCCCTCTTCCCCTGTTTCCCTTCTCCAGGCAGAGCTCGTCCTGGGCTCTGGGTTGGGGGAGGGGGCACGTGTGGCACATGTAAGGTGAGCCCCAGCCTGGATGTGGTTGTGAGAATGGGGGTGGCACTGGGGGAGCGAGGGCACTGGTGGGCTGGGGGCCGCCTGCCGACAGCCTCTGTCTCCCCAGGGCTTCTGCTCCTGGCTGACAGCTATCTTCAGGATAAAGTAAGTGGACGCTTCGGATTAAAGAAAGAGAGAAACAGAAACGCCAGACGTGGCATCTCCCTCCAAAATGCACAGGCCAGCAGCTTGGGAGGCCATAGCGCTCCTAGCCAGCCCAGCGACTGCTCTCTGCTCCCCACTCCCCACTTCAGGCCGCCTGGCCATGGGGCCCGGCCTCCACTGTCCCCGAATGCTCACTTTCTTCCACGAATCTCCATGGGGGCCTCCCTTGGAGCCAGCCTGCTCTGCGTGTCCTGCCCTGCCCCGCTCCCTGAGAGCAGGGCCCGGACCATGGCCCAGCCCCCTGCAGCCAGCGGGGCGGGCAGCAGCAGGCAGAAGCCAGTGTCCAGCAGGCAGCAAGGCAGGCGATCGAGCCAGAGCCTGGCAGGCAGTCAGTGAGCGCTGAGAGAGGCAGGAAGCTCGACAGGTCAGCACCACACCTGCCCAGGCCCCAGCCCCGGCTCCGGCCCCCATGGGCACTGCCGCCACCTCCTGCCCACTTTCTCGCTTCTGCCCCTCTTGAACTGTCTCCTCTTTCTGGCCCTTTGCTCTCCCTTCCCAGGAAACTGGGGACTCAGAGGTCCCATTCCAGCCCCACACTGGGCCAATCAGCGGGTGGGATGCCTGGGGACTGGGGCCAGCCGTGGCCTCCTGGTCCAGTTCTGACCTCGGTCCTCTCTGCCACCCCCTCGGCCTGCAGGGACGATGAGATCCGGGACAAGTGTGGGGGCGACGCTGTGCACTACCTGTCCTTCCAGCGGCACATCATCGGGCTGCTGGTCGTCGTGGGCGTTCTCTCCGTGGGCATCGTGCTGCCTGTCAACTTCTCAGGGGATCTGCTGGGTCCGTGAGGACTGGGGCAGCTCGGGTGGGGGCGATGGAGGCAGGGGCGCAGGCCCTGACCTCACCATCACCTGTGCGCCCTCCGCCTCCAGAGAACAACGCCTACAGCTTTGGGAGAACCACCATCGCCAACTTGAAATCAGGGTAAGGCTGGGACCACCTGTAGGGCCCTGGGGTGGGGGTGGGCGGCAGAGGTGGTGGGGACAGCAGGGGCAGATCCCTCCGAGAGTCCCCATTTTGGTTCTATAAGAACAAGGCAGCAGCCTCCGGCCAGGGAAGGCTGTTAGGTAGGGGGCGCTGCAGCCAGCAGGGATGTTTCCGCCAGGAGGTCTGAGGACAGAGGGGTGTGTGGAACCTCAGAAGGTTCAGTGCTGCGGACTGGTGTCCGGGTTTGCCAGGTTGGGGCTTCTCCATGTTTCCCAGCCACTTGTACCCCCTTGCTTCCCCAGGAACAACCTGCTGTGGCTGCACACCTCCTTCGCCTTCCTGTACCTGCTGCTCACTGTCTACAGCATGCGGAGGCACACCTCCAAGATGCGCTACAAGGAGGACGACCTGGTGAGTGCCCGGAGCCCACCCAGGCCTGGCAGGCCCCTCGCCCCTGTCCTGCAGACCCTGCTCTGCCCCGCCCTCACGTGCCGACCTAGAGTTAGGCCACCTGGTGTGAGCCCTGGCTCTGGGGCTCAGGAGTTCCCCCTTCCTACGAGGGACATAACCTGGCCTCAGCGTCTTCATTGTGAAATGGGATTGTAGTTCCCCTCCCAGGGTTTCTTGGGCGCTGAGACCAGGTGGCACATGTGCGCTGCTGGCCGTGGCTGGCCCTGGGAAGTGGCTGCTGCTGGTGTTGGGGGATGATATTCCCCTTCCTCTGGTCACCTGCCAGCCAGCTCTGGGTGCTGAGCCCATGCCGGCCACTGTGCTGGAAAACCAGGGTCCAAGGGTCCGAGACCAGCCCCTCATCGGCCCTGTCACCCGCTCCAGGAGCAGGGGCTGTGTGTCTCCGAAGTTAGGTTTGCCGCCTGATCTTTAGCGCTGTCTGCACAATGGTGCCGTTAGAGTACATCCCCACTTCCCCAGGAGCCTGTGAGCCCCCTCCCTCGTCCTCTCTGCTCACCGCTTTCCACCCCCTCAGTACAAAGCCTCGCTCCAGCCCTCCCGACTCCTCTGACTCCTAAGGTCCTCTCTCAGGAAGCCCACCTTCCCCTCCAGGTGAAGCGCACCCTTTTTATCAACGGGATCTCCAAATATGCCGAGTCGGAAAAGATCAAGAAGCACTTCGAGTGAGTCAGCACCCCTGTGCCTTTACCCCAAGAGCGACCACATCCTCTGCTTCACCTCAGGATGCACAGCAGGGTGGAGGTCAGAGCAGGGCCACGGTCTCTGCCTCCAGGGTGGCCTAGCTTCTGGGTCCCTTTGGGAGCCGGAGAGGGCTGGGTATAGTTCAAGGCTGAGTGGGTGTTAAGCAAGTGTGAGGCCTGGGGTTCAAGCCCAGCTCCCCACCTAAAAAAAAGAGCAGGAGAAATAGGCAGAATCTGGATGAACGCCACAGCTGTCTCCTCCCCACCTCCCCTTGTGGACTGGCTTGCAGGTTGTTGATTGGGGTCCGTTGGAGGCAGATGCCTTCCTCCATTCTCAGCCACATTCCAGACCGCGCGGGTGAGGGGGTGAAGCTGGCAGTTGCCAGCAGCTGTCCAGGAGCCCAGGAAAGACTGGGCTCTGCTCTCTCGGGCTCTTCCAGCTCTGGAATCCTGTCTTGAGGAACTCCAGGACTGCCAGGCAGCTGGAAACTGCAGAAGAGGGAGGGGGCTTGAGGGACAAGGAGGTCACTGTCCAGTCCCCAGGGTCAGGGGGCACATGGGACAGAGCCGTGGGTGGCAGAGTTGGAGTTAAGGGCCCATCTGGGGAAGGTGCAGGGATTGGGGTCACCTGTGCATGCACCCCACTTTTTTGCAATGGGCTTGGGACTATGAAAAGTGAACAGAAGGTCTTCAGACTCTCGGCTCACATGCTGTGGGGATCAGCCTCAGGAGCAGGTCCAGGCTCTGGTTGGAGGTTGGTCTGAGTTGTCTAGAATTAGAGTTGGCTGGTGTCGTAACTGGGCTGGTGGTGGTGGCCTGCAGCAGGCTTGGTCTGGCACAAGCACAAGGGATCATTCAGATCCAGATCTGCGCAGATCCAGAATAGCGCTCGGTCCTCATCCCAGGCCAGGGCAGCTGTGGTCCGATTGGGGAGTGTGTTGGGCCAGCCTGGGAGCAGGATCTGGCTGGGGTCCAATGCCAGAGCTCTGTGCTACAGCATTAAGGACTGGCTTGTGGTGGGCACCTTCTCTGTACCATGAGTAGGACACCAGGGACTAGCCCTGCCTCAGTTTACCAAGCAGCAGTCCAAAGCAGATCTCCTTGGGTCCATCAGCTGTCTAGAGCTCGTGCTGACATCAGCCATGGGGGGCAGTCCGGGTCAGGACTGGGGACAGTGCGCTCTGAATTCAGTGACTCCATTGTCCAGTGGGAATCAATGGTCGCCCATTCCAAGGAGGACCCTGAGGGGCTGTGCACCGCCCCAAGGACAGAGCCTTCGGCTGGGCTTGCCACCCTTGGTGCCCACATTCTAGCCAGGGAGGCAGACAGTGAGGCAGGCATGAGTTGTAGGCACTGTCAGGCTGGGGCAGGGGTGCAGAGGACATCATCTCAGGGAGAGGGGTTGGCAAGTGGGGTGGACGGGTGACATTTGAGCAGAGGCCTGAGCCAGTGAATGACCAGCTCTGCCAGCTCATTCAGCCTGTGCACAGCTCTCTGTGCTCATGCCAGGGAGACAGGAGAAGCAGTCTGACCAGTGTCCCCGGGGAGCGCTCCATCCTGTTGTTCCAGGGCCGGTCTGTAGTTCTGTGCAGGAAAGAGCAGGATTAAAGTTAGTGGTCATGGCAGCACTAGGCATGGCGGGCACATGCTGTACCACAGCACGCAGGGAGGCTGAAGCAGTTGGATCACAAGATTGAGCTCAGTCTGGGCAACTTAAGCGGCTTACCGAGACCATCTCAAAATAAAATAATACAGGGCTTTTCCTTCTGAAAAGGAGACCTGGATCAGCCTGAACAGCAGCATGATCAGAGAAGCCTGTCGCCTCCAGGGCTGCTCATTTCCAGGGATCCCAGCCCAGATTGAAATTTCTAAACCCCACACGTTTGTCAAGTCCATCTTGTGACCTTGTAACTTTAGCTCGTGCATCTTTAGTTCTTGATGGTCCTTCATTAAAATTTTAATAAAACATAAATGATGGGAACTGCCGGGTATGGTAGCACACACCTGTAATGCCAGTACTCTGGGAGGCTGAGGTAGGAGGATCACGAGTTTCAGGCCAGCCGGGGCACCTTAGCAAGATACTGTATCAAAATAAAAAGGCCTGGGGATGTGGTTCAGGGCAAAAGTCCTGGGTTCAATCCCCAGTACTACAAAAAGTAAAATGAAAAACAGGGATGCAGTCTAAATTAAAGATCAAGGGTCAAGAAATAGGGCAGGATTGGATTTTAAAAGTAAGTTGTCCTTTCCTCAGTCAGCTGGCACCCTCCAGGCCCAGCCAGGTGCCTCGGGCATGGAGTTGGGACAGTTGCTGGTTATCTGTGGGGGGTGGGATGGGGCTGCATTATGGGTTGGTCTCAGGATCAGGATGAGTTCTTTGTTGGTCTCAGGCCAGGGTGAGAGATGCCTGGAGAGGTGGAGCTGCAGGGTGGTTGGGTCTGGCCAAGTGTGAGACAGGGCCAAATCTTCTGGGAACAGGGTCACAGCTCCACATGAAGAGCAGAGTCCCCATATAGACCTACGCCCTCTCCCCTGAGGACTGGCGGGAGGAGGATTCCAGGGCTTTATTCTTGGGTACCAGAAGGGACGGTGGGGACGGGCCGGGTGTCTCCATGCAACAGAGCTGGGGGAGGGGGACGAGTGTCCGCAGGCAGTGTGGTCCCCGCGGGAGGTGACGTTGGCCCTGTTTCAGGGAGGCCTACCCCAACTGCACCGTCCTCGAAGCCCGTCCCTGTTACAACGTGGCCCGCCTTATGTTCCTGGATGCAGAAAGGTAGGAGATCTGAGGCACCAGAGTGCCTGCCTCCTTGCCCAGGGCTCTGTGGGAGATGGGTTTAATTCTTCCCTAGAGTGCTCGCTTTCAGCTCAGGGAAGAGCGGGCTGAGCTCAGACCCTCCCTGGCCCCGAGGCACTGGGCTAGGGGCCTCTGGACAGCATGCCCTAAACAGATCCAAAGCGGGACAGCCCCTGCCCTTGGGGGTGGCCTGGTGACATGAGCCTGCTGGCTGGGGGTGACAGGCACGTGGGTCCTGCAGGAAGAAAGCGGAGCGGGGAAAGCTATACTTCACAAACCTGCAGAGCAAGGAGAATGTGCCCACCATGATCAACCCCAAACCCTGTGGCCATCTTTGCTGCTGCGTGGTGCGGGGCTGTGAACAGGTACGAGGAGGCCCCATCCCTAGCCCTGCAGCACACACAGCAGGTGGAGGGGAAGCCCATGGAGGAGGCAAGGGTGGACCTCAAGACAGCGCCCTGGAAGCCCCAGCTCCCCCTGCTGGGCTTGTCATGTCTGTGCAGTGACCAGAGCTGCGAAGCCCAGGTGGGAGAGGACAGCATGGTGCTGTGCTGTGCTGTGCTTGCTAACGCCGGCCTTGGCAAGTTCCTTAACCACATTGTGTCTCAGTTTCCTCATCTGTAAGATGGGACTAATTGTACCTAAGTGTATAATAACACCTCAGAACCAGGTATCATGGCACATGCCCATAATCCCACACTCTTAGAGGCTGAGGCAGGAGGATGGAAAGTTTGAGCTCAGCCTGGGCAACTTAGTGAGACACTGCCTCAAAATAAAAAATAAAAAGGGCCCAGGATGTAGCTCAGTGCAAAGGCCCTGGAGAAGGAAGCCTGGCTGTGGACCCAGCCAGGGTGGCTGGAGCTGCGGGATCCCGGTGTCTGACCAGAGCCCCTGGCCGCGCGCCCCGTAGGTGGAGGCTATCGAGTACTACACGAAGCTGGAGCAGAAGCTGAAGGAGGACTACAAGCGGGAGAAGGAGAAGGTGAACGAGAAGCCGCTCGGCATGGCCTTCGTCACCTTCCACAATGAGACCATCACGGCCATGTGAGCCCCGCGCCCCCCTGTGCGGGAGCCCCTGTCCTCACGGGTCGGGTCCCCCCGGTTGTAATGGCGCCGTTCTCCGCCAGCATCCTGAAGGACTTCAACGTGTGCAAGTGCCAGGGCTGCACCTGCCGCGGGGAGCCGCGTGCCTCCTCCTGCAGCGAGTCCCTGCGCATCTCCAACTGGACCGTGTCCTACGCCCCTGACCCGCAGAACATCTACTGGTGAGAGCTGGGGGCGGGGCAGTCGGGGCGGAGACAGGCGGGGCGTGCGGCCTGCCTGACTCCTCCTCCCCTGCGCTCCAGGGAGCACCTGTCCATCCGCGGCTTCATCTGGTGGCTGCGCTGCCTCGTCATCAACGTCGTACTCTTCCTCCTGCTCTTCTTCCTCACCACCCCAGCCATCATCATCACCACCATGGACAAGTTCAACGTCACCAAGCCCGTGGAGTACCTCAATGTGCGCCCCGCACCCACCCAGCCTTCCCTCCCCCTGCGCTTCTGCCCGCCCCTCCTTCCTGCCACGCAGTCAAGGGCCAGTTTGAAAGTCCCTGAGGACTCTGGCTTCGTATATAAGACCCAGAGTACCTGCCTAAATCCCCTCCCCTCTGCTTGCTGCCTGGGTGAGTCTGCTTCAGTGTATATGTCTATAAAATGGGCCAGAGCCATTGCTGTGAGGATGGATATCGTGCTGGGGATACGGCAGGTGTTGCGCCACCTCGAGTGTCAGCACCCTGCACCCTGGGCCCAGGGGCCTGTGAGGAGCAGGCGGCCCTTGCCTGACACGTGTCCCCATGTCCCGCAGAACCCCATCATCACGCAGTTCTTCCCCACCCTGCTGCTCTGGTGCTTCTCGGCCCTGCTCCCCACCATCGTCTACTACTCAGCCTTCTTTGAGGCGCACTGGACACGGTGAGGGCCCACACTGCCCTCGCGCACCTGCTGCACCCTGTCCCCCGGCCTGGTGCCCTCTGCCCTCGGGCTCCCTGGCCAGCACCCCCCAACCCTGCCGTGCCGGCTGACACCCCGACCTCCTCCGTGCCCTGTGCCTGTGCCAGCTCCGGGGAGAACAGGACCACCATGCACAAGTGCTACACCTTCCTCATCTTCATGGTGCTGCTCCTGCCCTCACTGGGACTGAGCAGGTGAGCGCGGGGCGGGGCGGGTGCAGAGGGGAGGGGACGTAAAGCTGTCCCCAGGCGTCCCCAGGGCCATCGCAGACCCCCTCCCTCTTCTCCTCCCTCCAGCCTGGATCTCTTCTTCCGCTGGCTCTTCGACAAGAAATTCTTGGCGGAGGCAGCTATTCGGTTTGAGTGAGTGGCCAGGGACCCAGGAAGAGACCGGGCGGCAGGGGGCGCGGTGGAGACACTGCCAGCCCCCACGGGAGGGAGGATTTGACCGCGTCCAGCCCTAGGCGGAGAGGGCTCCAGGGCATCCGCGTTGGGGTCTGTGGGTGCCTGGTCTCACTTGGAGCAGTCGCAGTGAAATCTTGGTCAGCTGGGAGAGAGCTGGGGTCCCTGCAGCTCGCTGGCATCTGTGCTGTGAGGGTCCAGGAAGGCTCCTAGGTCAGGGCCCACGCTTTAGGGTTTGTCTGCAGCAGGAGCAGGGGGACACGCTGTGGCATTTGAGGTTCAGAGTGTGACTGCAGGGTTCTCCACGGCCCCATCTGTGCGAACTGCCTTGGGGCACAGGCCTGGAGGCTCGCTGTCAGCCGTCTGTGCCACGTTGGGACCCCAGCATGGGGCGTCTCAGGTGTTGATAGAGATCGTGTGGCCCAGGACAGGCTGAAGCTTACCTGCAGAGACATCCGACCTCAAATCCTGGAGTGCCTCTGGGCTAAGGCAGGGTCTGGGGGAGTGTTAGGGTGCTCCTGGGGCTTATGCTAGGCCTTTGAGGGTCCCACTGGGGAGGTCCGAGGAGATCTTGGGCAGCCTCTGCCTGCACAATCTGGTGGCTTTGGTGTCCTGAGCACTCTAAGATCTGCGTGGGGCACGGATTATGGGGGTGCCTCTGGGCCAGGCATCAGGCCACATTGCATGTGCACTGGGGCACCAAAACTTATTTGGGAGTGTCTCTCTTGACACTAGTATATGTATCCGGGGTTCACACCGGCGATGGGGACTGGGTCACAGTGTTGGGGCCAGGCTAGTCGCCCACGTGGAAGAAGCATGTGGAGGGAGAAGCTGGTGGTAGTGGCCATGGCCGCGGGTCCCCTGAGGTGTGGCACTGGAGCACCCGGTGCCCACAGGTGCGTGTTCCTGCCGGACAATGGCGCCTTCTTCGTGAACTACGTGATTGCCTCGGCCTTCATCGGTAACGCCATGGACCTGCTGCGCATCCCAGGCCTGCTCATGTACATGATCCGCCTGTGCCTGGCCCGCTCGGCAGCCGAGAGACGCAACGTCAAGCGGGTATGGCCGCCCCGGCGCAGCGGCCCGCGGGCGCCCTCTGTTGGCCCGACCAGAAACTGCAGCCGTTGGGCTCTTGCGGGGCACAGGTGCTGGGACTCCAGGGAGCCCGCTTCTGGGGCCCTGCCTTTCCCATACACATAGCTATGGTTGACAGAGGTGGCCCTGGAGGGCCCCAATTCTGACAGGGTAGTGTTCCGTGCTGGGAGCTGGGAGAGGTCTGGCCACCTAGATCTAGGTCCCAGTGTCCCAACCACACAAGAGGGCCCTGGATGTTCCCTGCCCGTGATCTCCCCACTCTTGCTCCCGCACTCTTGCCCAGAAGGCCCTCAACACCCCCATCATGTCTCTGCCTGCCTCCCCTGCCCGACATGAGGACCCTGCTGCTCCCGGCTTCGTTCCTGACCCCCTGTAGAGCTCTTGGTCTCTCCCTGCTGCCCTGGCCCCCCGCAGTCCCCTGTGCCCTGAGCCCCTCCTGCCCATGTCCCCCCCAGCATCAGGCCTACGAGTTCCAGTTCGGCGCTGCCTACGCCTGGATGATGTGCGTCTTCACGGTGGTCATGACCTACAGTATCACCTGCCCCATCATCGTGCCCTTCGGTAGGCGCTGCCGCGCCGGGACCTGGGCCCTGCTCGGGGGGACCCGGGGCCTTACCCAGCCACCCTAGAAAGGAGGCCACCCCGAGTGGACAGGGCCCGGCTGGGAGACCGGCCCCTCGGCCTGCCATCCGGTTCCTGGCCCAGTCTGGGGCCCGGCCTGGGGAAGTGGGGTGTAGCTCAGCTCAGGCTGGACCCACCCAGTGTGCTGGTCCCTGCCAACGCCATCCTAACACGGCCCTGTTGGCCACACTGGTGCTGCCGCCCACTGACGTGTCACGCTGCCACTAACACATCACACCGCCTCTGACGTGTCCTCGCATGCTCACACCCCTGCACAGGCACACAGCCTCCTGAGCCCAGGGAGGACCCAGGTCCAGGGTGGGGTGCGCCCCTGCCTCCCACAGAGCTGTCCTGCCATAGCCAGGGTGTGACTTGCACACTCACTCTTCTCTAGATGTCTAGCGCAATTTGCCTCTAACCATCCCCCAGTGCAGCCTCTGCTTCCCCATAACACCCCAACCCTAACCTAACCGCCCTCTCTGGCCAGTGATGGCTCCAGATTCCCAGACTAACCTAGTCCCATCGGAAGCGCCCACAGTCCCAGTCTGCAGGGAACTAGAACTGTCGTGTAACTTAGCGTTATATGTGGCGGGTCAGGGTGGAGGGAAGCAAGGGGGGCTTCAAGCATTCCCCCCCACTGTTTGCTCTGGACCATTTCCAGGGACAGGATTCCTGGCAAGGGGCCAGGCAGAGGAGGCCCAAGCCCAATGGTCATGCTGGGGTCACCAAGTCTGGTGCTGCCCTGGGCTGGGGAAGGGACAGGGCAGGCGGGCAGCTAGCCCTGGTGATCCCGGAAGGCAGCCAGTGCTGGACACGTCGTGGTCTGTGGCACCGGTTCCGAGGGCAGGGCCGTGTGGCTTCTCCAGGGCTCATGTACATGCTGCTGAAGCACCTGGTGGACAGGTACAACCTCTACTACGCCTACCTGCCTGCCAAGCTGGACAAGAAGATCCACTCAGGCGCCGTGAACCAGGTGGTGGCCGCGCCCATCCTCTGCCTCTTCTGGCTGCTCTTCTTCTCCACCATGCGCACAGGTGAGGGTGCTACCGCCCCAGAGCGGGGATGGGGCAAGACGGGAGGGCCATGCGGCCAGCGCCCTGGAGAGCCCACGGTGAAGCCAGGCCATGGGTCCAGAGGGAGCATCAAAGACAGCTGGCAGCCCTGTCCTTTGTCCCCACACGCGCCAGGGTTCCTCGCCCCCACGTCCATGTTCACCTTCGTCGTCCTGGTCATCACCATCGTCATCTGCCTCTGCCACGTCTGCTTCGGACACTTCAAATACCTCAGTGCCCACAACTACAAGGTGGGGGCCGAGGGCTGGCGGGCACAGCTACGGGCGGCTCACGGGGGCCAGGGCGGGGCCGACGGGGCGCGAGGAGGCTGCAGGGCTCGGGGACAGTTCCTGTAATCCCTGACCTGCTCTGTGTCTCTCAAGATTGAGCACACAGAGACAGACACCGTGGGCCCCAGAAGCAATGGACGGCCCCCCTCTGCTGCTGCCGTCCCCAAATCTGCGGTGAGTGCCCTGCTCCCTGGTGAAGGAAGGGGGGTGCTTGACAGAGACTCAGCTCCAAAGTCAGGCACCCATCTGTCATCCAGCGGGGGCAGCCTATTCCAGACCCTCATCAAGGGAGGGCTGTCCTCCGTCACCCCGCCATACAGCTGGACACTCACCCTCACCACCTGCTTCTCCCCCTGCAGAAGTACATCGCCCAGGTGCTGCAGGACTCAGAGGGGGACGGGGATGGGGACGGGGCTCCTGGGAGCTCAGGGGACGAGCCCCCGTCGTCGTCCTCTCAAGACGAGGAGCTGCTGATGCCCCCCGACGGCCTCACGGACACGGACTTCCAGTCGTGCGAGGACAGCCTCATAGAAAATGAGGTCCATCAGTGAGGGTGGGGCCCTGGAGGCTGCGCCCCCCGCCCGCCCCACGGACACAAGACGCTAATAATTTATTAGATCTAAAGCCCTCCAACCCCCCAACCCCCGCTTTCATTAAGGTATTTAAACCTGGGGATCCGCCGCTCTCCCCCACCGCGAGGGAGGCAGGGAGCCCTCGCCTCAGTGAGGACAGCCCCGAGCCGGCCCCGGGGCGCAAAGGGGTGTGGGGGCTTTCCCCCGATCAGCAGCACCCCAGCAGTGTGGTCAGGAAAGGTTGATGAGAGCCAAGAGGGGTACCCAGTGCCATGGCTGGAGACCTGGGGGCAGGTGGACTAGGGCCCGCCCCCTCCAGCCTGTCCTCCGCTCTGCTCCTGGGATCTGGCCCTGCAGAGACCTGCGGGATGCATGAGAAGGGAGGGGAGCGAGGGGAGGAGGGGCCCCAGCCCGGACCTGGGGGTGGGCATGGCTGACACTGGAATATGGGTTTTTGCACTGGTTTTTTTTTTTTTTTTCCTTTAAAATAAAAACAGAAAAGCTCCTAGGTCAGCGTGATCTGTGTGCAGCTGTGCCGCTGTGCTGGGGCCTCGCCTCGCCTCTGTCCAGCCGGCAGCCTGTGCACAGCCTCAGCATGAGCCCTACAAAGACTGGTGGTTCCAGGTCTCAATTTGCCCTCATGGGGGACACCATGGGGTGTGTTGAAGGAAGGAGGGGCCTCCGTACCCGGGCCGAGCTGTGCCAGTGCCCCTGCCATCCCCAGCATCCCTGAGAGCCACACACAGGACAGCGGGCAGGAGACAGCAGCCTGAGAGCCGCCAGCGCTCGCCCTGAGCATCTGCAGGTGGCCTCCAGGGGGTCTCACCCTCCACACCAGCTCTGTGCCACCCTTCGGAGGGCTTTCCTGGGGCGCCACCGCAACTCCAGAGCCACAGGGCTGTGTGCCGTGCAGCGTGTGCTGTGTGCAAAGCCCACAGGGCCCTGTGCCCACACATAGCACCTGTCCGGAGTCTGTCACTAGCTCACAGCACACGACCGTATCCCAGAGAAAGCTGCACTTCCTTGGGGCCTGTTCCCTCATCGGTACAATTAGGGTGCAGGATGGGACTTCCAGAGCGCCTGGGACACCCTCCTGCCCGCCTCAGCCCCCACCTTCCAGCAGGACCACACCAGTGGGGGCGGGAAGGAGGACAGAGGTGACTCCACAAGAAAGGCTGGCAGAGACAGCACACACTGCCCAGGTGCCAGCAGGGGGTGGCAGCAGCCGGGGCCAGGGCCCACCAGCCGCAGGGCAATGGATGCCCTCTGTCATCAGCCGAGCCAGGAGGGCCAGCAGCCGTGGCAGCATGAGTGAGAGGGGCAGTAACTGGCACTGACGGCCTGGCCTCAACTTCACAAGAGCCCCCAATAGAGTCCCCAAGGCGGCCATGGCAAGAAGCCCAGGGCCAGCCAGTGGGTGAGCGCTGAAACTGCTCAGGCTGGGCTGAGGCTCCGGCAGCCTCCTCTCTGTGGGGCGGGCATTGGACTGCCCTTGTCTGTCCGGCAGGCCCCAGGTCAGTGCAGCATGGACGGGACAGACCTCAGCCTGGAACTCATCAGCCAGGCCCCTGGGTCTTTCCCTGCACAGCATATCTCCCTGTACCGGAGCCACCTGGCAGGGCCTGAGGTGCAAAGTCAAGTCCAGATGTTCACAGATGTGCAGCCCAGGTGGTACCCAAACCACACACAGTGAACATGACCTTGGGTGGGGGGTGACGGAGTTCACCCCAGCCAGCACCCCTTCCCTGGCCTCCTCACACGCAGCACTTTCCAATTTCCTGGTCCCAAGCCCACCCTGAGGGGACAGGGATCTAGCACCCTGCCAGGCATCTTCCCTGAGACAAGTCCCAGCTCTGCACTCTTACCACAAGCCTTCAGAAAGGTGCCGTCCCTGTCCCATCAAGCTGAGCTCTCCGTCCTGAAGGCCTTCCCTCTTGCAAAGCCAGATCCGGTGGCAAGTTGGAAGGGGCTAGTTTCTGCGGGGACAAGTGGGAAGATGGGGAAGGGGAAGGTGACCAGTACACGTGGTCATCAGCGAGTTCTGGAGCGGGGGTGGGGTGGACTCTGCTCCCCCCAGGACTTCAACTGCCACCATGGCGCTGGCCGCCTGCATGGCGTTCTCCTCAGGTAAGCACCAACGGGCCTTGGTCCCTTGTCGCACACCTGGGCTTCTGCAGACGAGGCCTCTCTGGAAATGAGCGTCCTGCGTCCCCATCAACCTGGGTGTCCTGAGGGTGGAACCCAGGACTCATGAATGAGACCAGCTGCCCAGAGGGCAAGAGCTAACTTCCAGCGGCAGGACGGCGCCTCCTCATCAGGCGGAGGGGCTGGCGGTGGGGAGCGGAGAGCGTTCGGAGAGGGGGCCCACACAACCATCAGAGCGGTGAGCCCCTGGGAACTGAGCTCACTCCAGGCCCAGGACTCAGCCCGGTCCAGAAAGAGAAGGTCCAAGAGGGCGGTGGGAGCAGGCGCTAGGCCGTGAGGACCCTGGCTTTAGGCCCCAGGAGCACCTGGAGGGGCTGCAGAGCTGAGTTGTTCTTGGGGGAAAACGGTCCTCGCGGGAGCAACCACCACCAGGTCACCCTCGGGCCATCGCCCCCCGTCAGCCTCCCGGCCCAGGTCCACTGCTGCCCTGGCCCAGCCTCACTCCGCCGAGCCCCAAGGCCACAGCAGCACAATCCCCTCCCTGCTCTGGAGACTTCTGGCTCCCCTCCCGCAAGGAACAGATTCTGAAAGTCACTGAGAGGGTGGGGTCTGAGTGTCCCCCCACGAGGGGGTGCACAGATGAGGCAGTGCGCCTGAGTGAACAGCGCCGCAAGGCCCTCCCACCATGCAGGCAATTTCCAAACATCGTGGTGGACATGACCCATGCATGTTGATTTTTTTTTTTTCCATTAATGAAAGCATAAAATAACACAGTTTTTAAAATGTATGGGTCCGCAGGCCCCATGTCCAAGGTGAGCTCTGCCTGAGGGGGACGGGCCCAAAGCTTCTGTCCATCTGCGCCTTCTAGTGTGTCCCTCCGGGCCCTGCCTGAGCTCTCACGCCAGCCCAGTTTGTCTGCCTGCCTGTCTGCCTGCCTGTCTGCCTGAGCTGGCTCCCCCGCTTCAGCCCAGAGACAGGGCCTGGCCTGCACCCTCAAAAGAGGCTTCCTGCCATAGCCGTGGCCTTGTGTGGCTGCAGGGTGTGACGAGCCTGGTCTCTGGACTCGGGGGTCTCAGGCAGGGCATGGGACATGCTGGTGAGAAGGGACAAGGCTCCGAGGGGATGAAGGAGGGAAAATTAGCCCCTCACCGCCTTGGCCTGTCCCCTCCCCTGGCATGGTCCCCAGCACCCTTTGTGGCTGACCCAAGAGAGAGGCCACTCAGTGCTGGGCCAGCCACGGCCGGGGTCCCGCCCCTCTGGCCCCGAGGAGACAGGCCCTGAGGGGTCCTTTCACTGTGTGGTGGCCCAGGCCTTACCCTCACTGGGATTCTCAGCCTTGCCAGGTGCTGGGGGAGCTTTGGGTGGGGTCATTCTCTGCCCCGGGTGTAGGGGGCACTGTTCAAGTGTTGCAGGATGTTTAGCAGCTCCTGGAGCCTCTGGTGGTGCTGCTGTCCAGCCATAATGACCAAACTATCTGGAACTGGCAGAGTCCTCAGGGCAGCACGGCCTGGGTGAGGGTCTGCGTGGACCCTGTGGTGACTCGGCTTCTTCCGGCTGAGCTCGGAGTAATGGTGACTGGTGGCTCCCTTTAGGGTCAGGGATGAAAGAGAAGCCCCAGGTCCCACCCTGCTCAGAGACCTCACTCCTCTCCTGGGAGGGCTCCTGTCAGAGGGGCGATGATGTATCCCCACAGCTTTTTCATCTTCAGAGAGAAAATAATCCACACTCGTGCACTCCTTAACCATCTCCCCGGAGTCAGAGGGAGCCTCATCCACTGTTTATTTTCATCTACTCTTTATATTTTTTCCTTTCTACTTTTGGAGACAGAGTCTCACTAAGTTTCCCAGGCTAGTCTCAAAATTAAGATCCTCCTGCCTCAGCCTCCCAAGTAGCTGGGATCACAGATGTGCACCACTATGCCCGGCTCCTCTACCGCTTCTAAGAGAACCCCAGAGGGCTTGGGTTAGGAGAGGGGGGTCTGAGGAGATGGAGGAGGAGCAGGAGGGGAGAGCTCCCAGATTCTGGCTGTTCCCCAGTTCCTCTCCCACTCCTGGTTGCCCTAGAACCTGGAACTCCTGGAACCACCCTTGGGGCAGTGGGCGGATCTCAGAGCAAGGAAGGAGACATCTCTCTCTGCAGGAGCACAGGCCTCACCCACCCCCCAGCCTACAACCTCTCTTCCAGCCTATGGCACTGCACCAGAGCAGGATGGCCAGAGGGTCCATGTGCCCAACCAGAACAACTGCCCCATAAAGCCAGGGGGCTGCTAGGGACACGGCACAGGTGGTGGCACAGTGTGGAGTGATTATCAGTAAATCCGTGATGGACAGGGGTGCACATGTAGCTCCAGTAGCTGCTCAATAAATACTTGCAGCCTGCCAGCACAGGCCAAGTTGGGTCTTTATCACTACGTAGCAGTAATTGTTTGGGACAGGGACAAGCACACAGCAAGCCCTCTTACCGCCCGAGGGAGAGTCCTTCTAGCTTCTCAGCAGGCTGAGGATGGGGTCCTGAGTTCTTCCATGTGACTGATTTTTTTTTAAGAAACAGTGTCTTAACCAGGAGTAGTGGCACATACATGTAATCCCAGCACTCAGAAGGCTGAGGCAAGAGAATTGTAAGTTCAAGGCCAGCCTGGACCTTGTCTCAAAAAAGCCAAACAAACAAAAACCAGAAAAGAAAAGGGAAGGGGGTGCTGGGGATTTAGCTCAGCAGCACAGCAGCACAGTGCCTGATTGGCAAGCCCAAGGTCGTGAGTTGGATTCCCGGTACCAGAAAAAAAAAGCCAAAACCAACCAACCAAACAAACAAACAAAAAAAGAGAATGGAAGGGAAGGGAAAAAGAAAGAAGAAAAGAAAAGAAAAGAAAAGAAAAGAAAAGAAAAGAGAAAAGTAAAGAAAAGAGAAGGAAAAAGAAAGAAAGAAAAGAGACTATATTGCTCCAGCTATCCTTGAACTCCTAGGTTTAAGTAATTCTCCTGCCTCAGCCTCCTGCATAGAGGGGACAACAGATGTGCACCAATGTGTGTGGCTCCTAATATGATTCTTTTAGCCAGCAAGCCCAGCGGGACCCCCGACAGCCCGTGGTGCTATCCCTGTGAGCTTCGCTCCTCCCAGCCCAGGCATCCTTTGGGGCTAGGCAGAAGCAAAGGACAAGTGGGGAGGGCTGTGAGGGGGACTGCTGTCAGGGCTGTCCCTGAAGCCTGGGGCCCAAGGAGTAGCGCACACCCTCTACTCTGTCACCAAATCGGTATGGGCCTTTTACTGGGAGAAAGGAAGGAGCACACGCTGCCTCCCTTCCAGAGGGGCCAGAACAGCACTGGAAGCAGTCACTGAGAACCTACGGTGTGCTCAACGTAGCAGCAAACAAAACAGGTTTAAAAAACCCTGGCTTCCCAAGCTTTTACTTTTCCCCATAGTACTGGGGATTGAAGCCAGAGCCTTCACAATGGGCTATGTCCCCAGGCCTTTTTAATTTTTGAGACAGGGCCCTGCTAAGTTGCTTAAATTGCACAGGCTGGCCTTGAACTTGTGACTCTCCTACCTCAGCCGCCCAACTAGCTGGTATGACGGTCATGAACCATGACATGTGGCTATATTTTGCTCTTTGAGAAACCCCTGCGCTATTCTCCAAGGTGGCTGCACCATTTTTATTCCCACTGACTGAGTCCAAGGACTCTGATTTCTCCATGTCCTCCCCAACACTTATTAGTATTCACCTTTTCCGTGACAGTCCAAACGGGTATGAAGGGGTTTCTCCTTGTGATCTTGATTTGCATGTTCCTGATAAGGAATGATGTGCGCTCTTTCCCCAGCAATTATTGGCCATTTGTGTGTCTTCTGAAAGATATCTGTTCCATTTCTAAGTGGGGCACCTGTCTTTTATTACCAAGCAGAGCCCTCTGTCACGGGCACGGCAGCTTCCATAAACCAGAGCCGGCTCAGGTCCAAGGGCCTGGGCGAGCACCACAACGCTTGCAGCTTTGGGGGCCAGAGCTTCGAGGGGCTGCAGGAGGCCTGCCTGAAGGCGGGGGAGCTGTTTGAGGATCCCCTGTTCCCCGCGGAGCCTCGCTCTCTAGGCTTCAAGGACCTGGGCCCCAACTCCAAACACGCGCAGGACATCTGCTGGCTGCGGCCCAAGGTGGGCACCAGATGGGCAGAGGGAGTGGTGAGGGGACTGGGGTGTTGAGATCTCTGCCCCACCCAACCCAGGGACCAGGCTCCCCTCTGTCCCCTCCAGACTACCAGGGACAGTTCTGAGCCTGCTCAGCCCAGGGCCCCTCTTAATCTGGAGCCCCTGCCACACTCTGATGTCACAGATGAGCTGTGTGCAGCTGGTCCTAGTCTGCCCTCATCTGCTCCCCTGGAACCAGACAGGCAAGGGAGCGGGGAGGAGGTGCCCGCCCCAGCCACCCTTCCTTCTCCCCTACCACAGGAGATCACACGCAAACCCCAGTTCGTTGTGGATGGGCTCAGCCCCACGGACATCCGCCAGGGGGGTGTGGGTGAGTAGGGCCCTAAAGGACCCCAAGTTCAAACAACCTGCTCTGCATCCCTGGCCCTGTCCTGCATGTCTCCCTGCTGCAGCCTGGGTTTGGAGTAAGTTGGGGTGACATATTAGTTACTCACTGCTCTATAATAAATCACCCACAGCTTAGGGATTCAAAACCCCTAACCCCGACCCAGGGCTTTGCACGTACTAGACAAGCACTCGACTACTGAGCTACAGTCCCAGACATTCAACAGGGTCTTTCTTGTGAAGTTGGCCAGGCTGGTCTTGAACCTGTGACCCTCCTGCCTCAGCCTCCA